GAAGCAGCACCCAGCACCCGCCCCTCTGTTCACCTGGTTACAGTGGCAGATCCTGCTCACAACTTCAGATGTGGATCAGATTCCCCCACACAAGAGTGGGGCAGGGGACACTGGGGCAATTGACCAAAAAGACCACTGGGGGCAGTGTTAGGCTGCTGCACTGTCCGAGGGCAAGGTGCCTATCCATCAACCCACACTCATTACATCAGGGGAAAAATACTTTGAAGCATCCCGTGTGCTGATTAACAAACTTTTTTAGTGCCAAATGTGGCCAAGTAGCCCTTGAATTAGCTCATCCTTAAGGCAGGACTTCTGATCAGGGTGTTTCAAAGCCTAACTATATGTCTGACCATATGTCTGACCATAGCCAAGCACCCCTGGAGTTCAGGTTATCAACAACCAGCCCAACCTGCTCACTTGATTTTGAAGTAAGTGGTGATTTCTGCGCATGCACACAGGAGGCAAGCACGGCCACACCATCCTTGTGGGCCGTAATGACCTGTGCCTGCACCTGGACGTCTGTGCCCTGCGAGTGAAAATCAGCACCCCTTGACCTAAACATAATAGATTGCCGAGGTGCCTTTCTCCTCATGGAAGCAGTTTGCAGCTGAGAGAGAGATCTTGCAAATGATCGCCGTCTGCTCTTGCCCGGGGGGGGGGGGGGGGCACAGATGCAAAGAACCAGTGGATCAGTGGCTGCTGTCATTGGCTTGTCCTCTGCTGGCGGCCTGGGAAGCGCATCAGGACGGGGATCGGGAGGCATCCTATGCAAGGGGGTATTGCTGGTTACTGTGCAGCCTTGGGCCCCTGAATGGAGGCCTGAACTTCCTCTGTGAATGTCCAGTTCAGCATTTCAGCCTGGGGAGCACAGCCTTCAACCTGGTGCTTGGCCTGTCCCGTCTCGGCTCCCAGGAATGCACAGGTCTCTCTCGAGCCCCGAGGGACAGAGGAGTTGCCAACCGAGGACCTTATGAAACGTTTAGGTCCTGGGCTGCTTCCCCAGGGCCCCTGACCCACCCAGAGTGTGCCTGGGAGAGTCCCTGCCGGACAAACCTGCAATGATGTTGATGCCCACAGTCCGTGGGCCCTCAGAGGAGCCCTGCTCCAGTGGCAGGACCATGGGGCTGGCAGTCAGAAAGCCCAAGTTTGCCTCCACAGCCCTTTCTATCCATAGCAGGTGACCTTGAGCTCCCCCACACGTGCAGTACAGTAGATGGGAAAGCCCTTGACACACTGTGAGGCTCTTCCAAAGCAAGAGGGTCTTGCCCTGGTTGTGACACTAACCTTGATGCTCTAATGTGGACGCTGAAACCTTCTGGTGCCTCTTCTCCAGTTTTTACAAAGATGCTGTTCTGTCCCCAGCCTTCAACACAGCCAGGTGTGAGAAACTACAGAAGGAGAAGGAAGAGCTGGAGAGGCGGTTTGAGGACGAGGTGAGGAGGCTGGGCTGGGAGCAGCAGGCCGAGCTCCAGGAGCTGCAGGGGCGGCTGCAGCTGCAGTTCCAGGCGGAGATGACACGCCTTCAGGAGGAGCACAGCGCCCAGCTGCTGCGGATCCGGTGTCAGCACCAAGAGCAGGTTTGTGTTTGTGCTGCGCTCTGTCTCTGCTGTTGGGATGTGCAGGTGGAAGGTGGAGGGGGAGCCATGCTACTTGAGCCCGGAGTCCTGTCCGTAGGTGAGCTACTTGCAAAGTTCCCTCTCTGATTTCATTTCTTCCTCCGTTGCCTCCTTTCCTCCCCTCCTGCCTTTCTGGCCTCCCTCTCCTTGTTCTGCCAAGCGTGCTCCTGCCTAGAAAGTTCTCCCTCTTGACACTCTGTGGCCATCCTCTCAAGCACCAAGAGAGAATTGTCTGCCAGGCTTACTGCTAGAATTTTGGTACCTGAATGTGCCTGCACAGAGTAGGTCATAGGTTTGAACTTGCCGAATAAAAGCATGAATGCCGCTAGCTGGCCCAGCGGTCTTTCTAGAGAGAGCGATTCATCTGGAATGAGTAGAGAATGGTTCCCAGGGAGCCCGTCAGCTGCAGCAGGTAGGAGCGGGAGCCTCCTTGTCCATCACTGTGGGTGCTGACCGGAGACTCTGCTTCCATGAGAACCAGTTCTGCTCCATTCTTTTCTCCTCTTTCTAGGTCCCCAAAGCTCTGTTGCCGTAATACCCGCCTTCTAAGTGGTACATTGTTTCCTGTGGTCTGGTAATGGCATTTGCAAAGAGCACGCTAAGTCTCAGGCTGCCCCCTCCCACTGCTTCCAAGTAGACACCCTGGACGGTGACGGTCCCCAGAGGCTTGTGAGCCTAATGGGCACAGAGAGAATTCCAGAGTAATAATAGGCGCCATTGTTGTCATTAAAAGTCTCCCATTTGACACATTTTATTCCATTCAGCATCTTTTCTGTGGAAACCAGACACACCTGCCTGCTTAAGTTTGTTTAGACTTACAGACCAGGAAACAGAATAGGTTACAGCTAAAGTTACCACTGGTGCTAATGTTAGAACCCGGTCTCCAGCATCTTGCCTCCTGAGCTCGCAGAGCATAACCTCTGTAAGCAGACGTCTGTCCCTGCGCTGTCTGCAGTGTTAGCATGGCCTTTGGATACATCCCCAACCCGGTGCAAATAGCGGCTCTGAGCCTCTGTATCCCTGGGCCATTCGCTCCCAGTTTTGCACAGAGAACGTGTTTATACCTGTGTCCACTAAGAGACTTCTGGTCCAAACTTCTGGGTTGGCTGAGAAGGTGCCAAGAGGTGGGAGGGAGGGCAGGAGGGGTGCCAGGCAGGAGAGGGTGCTTTGAGGGCCCTCGGAGTGAAAGCTCCCTTTCAGTGCCGTGTCTGGAAACCACGCAGCTGAGGCCACTGCTAGGCAGAGCCTGGCCACTGGAGGGGCTCGGCGTGAGTAGAGCGCCCCTCAGCGTCCATGAGCAGAAGCACAGCGGAGAGATGGGCCCTCACCTCGCCTTTAAGCTGGGACACAGCAGCGTTTCAGAGCTTTCGTGTTGGGCAGGATTGAGGGAAAGAAGGCTTGACATTGAGAATGAATTGCAGAAGCTACCTGTGAGCATTTAAAAAGGGTTTTACCTTATGAGGCCTTTGAGCTCCATTCTTCTTGATCCTTATTCACTAAAGCGATTCATCTAGTTACCCATTCACCTAGGCCAGGAATATCTGGAGTGCCCACTGCACACCGGGCACACGTCAGGGTCCTGCCAGAGACGCCCAGATTTATAAACCGTGGGCGTGCTTGATCCATGCCTCAGGCGATGGCCAGGGAAGTTCTGAGGGAACTGATCCTGGGTGAGCAGCAGAGATGTGTTTAGGAACTGAGAGTTTACTTCCAGCTGAGAGGACAGGGAACATTTTCTGGTAGAACTAACACCGAGTGCTGTAGGTCTGAGTAAACCTGCCTGCAGACACCCACTGGCTGGGGGGATGGATGACTGAAACCTGTGACTCGTTCAGGCCTGACTTGGCCCCTGCTGCGGAGCATGGCCTGACCACAGTTCCTACCCCCGCCACCCTCCTCCGCCCCCCGGCCAGCAGAGAGAGTGCAGGCAGTGAGGGAGGCGAGGCAGGGACGTCGCCAGTTCTCATGCAGTAGAATCTGCGTTCGCTCTGTGCAGGAAACTCAGTGCACAGCTGCGATGGGGAGGTGTGAGGTCTGCAGTTTCAGCTCTCCAGCTCGAACTACCCACCCTCAGGCTTCTTTATGGGGACAATTTGCATTTGGCAATGCTGACCCTATGGGTAGTGACATCTGTCCGCAGTTGTGCTCCACCAGCTTAACAGTCAACCAACCTGGCCTCTGGCCGCCCAGCGCCCCCACCAGCAGCGCAGGAGCTGCTGCGGCTTCGCTCAGACTGGGAGCTCGCGCGCTGAGACACGTGCACCTCTGACTGCTGCAGGGTCTCCCTCCGACAAATCCAGCCTTCCGCTCACCGCTGCCCGCACATGGGAGTCACTGGGGAATGTGTGGCAAAACACCCTCCTCATCCTCACCCCACGGTAACTGCATCAGAACGGCTGGTGGGTCGGGTTGTTCGTCAGCCTGACCTGAAATGCAGTGTCCCCAGACACAGGCCTCCAGGCTGCCTTAAGTGCTGATAAAGATTGGGCCTGATTTTTATTTCAAAATGACCATAAGGTGTTTAATCAAAATCAGCACGTGTGCCATAGCTAGCTCCGCATGAATAGAAGCCAAACTGCCAGAGCCCCCCACCTCGAAGCACACAAAACGGATTTTCACTGAAAATACACAGGCTTGTCCGCTTTTGCCCAAACACAGTGCCTTCCAGTTGTCCTCTCTGGGCTGACTACTGTTTCCCAAAGATGCTCAGCCACAGAGCTTCACATTCAATGGTCAATTATGTGACCTTTGACCCCATTCCTCCAAGACGCTGTGGCCTTTTGTCCTCCTCCCTGACCTGGCCCTGAAGTCACCGTGGACTCTGCTCAATGAAGTCTGAGCAGAGGTGCCTTCCCCTCCGGGGGAAGCAGTGCTCCCCCTTGGCCTTTACGTTGCTTTGTCTCGGATTCAGGACGTCCTTTCTCCCTTTCTGAAGGAAAGCGCCCTTTCAGACTAGCTGGCAGCCTCCGCATCCTGCACTTCATGAGAACATACAGAGGCCACTTGGTTCATCCTCTGACATTACCTCTCCGTAGTCCTCCTGTGACAGGTGCACAGCTGCCACCAGCAGAAGCCACAGGCCCTCAAACAGAAGGAGGTTCCAGGGACCCTCAGTCTTCCAGCTCCAGAGCCCCGCCCAGCACAGCCCAGAGTCTCAGTACCCCGGGAGGAGGCACTGTGGGAAGGTGGGGGCCGCCTGAACTCCTGCTCACATGTGGGCTGCAGTGGGGGCGGAAGGCACATCCTAGAAAGGGATGGAGTGGGACTGGGCGCTCTGGGATGGCTGGCTGCCCACCCTGAGTAAGCAGCTACCCAGGCTATGTAAGCAGGCACCCAAGGGAAGGGAAGGAAAGTCCGTAAGAGAACCCTGGAGAGAGTGAACATGGGCAGCCCCCTCTGTCCCACCAGACAGGGATGTGTGTCTGGGATGGGAGTAGATGGGAAGTTAATCTGATTTGGGTTTAATGAGTAAAGCTGAGATGATACAAAGCACATGCATCTTCATTCTAAATGTAAGCTGTCTCTCAGGGAATGGCCAAAGCCTCAGATAGTTGTGTGTTGCAAATGGCTGAGTAAGGAAGCCCACAGCTGTATCTTACCCTCCAGAGGGCGGCTCTCCGACCTTTGCTGTGCTGTTGCTCAGCCCAGCAGAACTGCAGGCCCCTGTGGAGTGGAGCCTGCCCCGGCACAGCTGCTTCTCCACACCACGGGGCTAGCGGAGGGTGCAGTCATACTCCTGCTCCGTGCGCAGCCCGAGCTCCGTCTCCCTGGAGAAGGAAGGAGTGGTCCAGCAGTGGCTTAAGGCCCCAAGAGAAGGATGCTTCCTGCCACCTAAGCCTGCCCCGTGGACTGACAATGAATCAAATGAACTGATGTTTTCCTTCCGTCAACTTGTCTGAATCCCTTCAAACGCCTGCAGCGGGTTTCAGGGTGTCCTCGGGCTGAAATCTCACTGGCCGCTTCAGAGTGTGAGGCCATGCCCTGGGAAGAAGCCAGGGGCCCCGGAGGAGCAGTCATGGGGATTAATACTCTGACAAGAAGAGGATGGCCGATAGTGAACAGCTCCTTCCCCATAGAGGGAACAGTCTTCAAAAAACATAAAGATGTATAGGAACTTTACTGAAGAGCAAGGATTCTTACGCCCAAATCTTGGCTCATTGGTTCATACTGGTTTCCTCTTGTTGCCTATGGCCTTTCAGAGTTAGGGGATCCATATTTCACTCATAAAAGCACCTGTGAGTGGCTGTAACAGAGAGACCGTGCCCGTTCATCAGGCTTCCTATATTGAGCATGGGATTGAGTCACCATTAAATCAAAGACCTGCCTCCCAACAAACCAGAAGGGCGACGTTCAGCTTCAGACATAATGTCATATTGCCTGACAGGCATCTTCTCCGCCAGGGACACGGGGGACTCTTCTGGAATATGGTAATTTGCGTCAGAGCCAATAAATTAGAATCACACCAAGGACTGATCAAAGATTTTTCTTCAAACTGAACTGGGTAACAAGCATCCAGATAATGTGTGGGGACCTATGTCTGCAGACAGGGGAATCTTGGCTCAACTGATACAGTAGGGAAGCAGAAAAAAATATGTACTTGTATTTTTTTTAACCAGTGATTTATTTTTTCAAGAGACTGAAATGCCTTGGATGAAGATTCTATGAAAACCTCATATAAAAAGGAATTGGACAATTATGTACTGTGGTAATCAGCTTTTCTGATTAATGGAGTCATAGGTCTGAGCCTTAAGTAAAACATTGTTTTATCAAGAATGGCCTGTAAGCTTGGTTGATATAGCTCAGTGGTTGAGTATCGACCTATGAACCAGGAGGTCACGGTTCCATTCCCAGTCAGGGCACATGCCTGCATTGTGGGCTCAATCCCCAGTAGGGGGCGTGCAGGAGGCAGCCAATCAATGATTCTCTCTCATCATTGATGTTTCTGTTTCCCTCTCCCTTCCTCTCTGAAATCAATAAAAACATTTTTAAAAATAAAAAAGAGGATGGCCAGTGAATAAAAATGAATCATTGCATATCATGTTCGTTAGAAAAATGTGATGCAGCTATCCTAACACTGTGGAATTCATTGTTGGTTTTGCCAGTGGTATTTCTGTTTTCATGGATGAAGTTCTCTTTTACCTTAGGAGAGAAAAGTCAGGCAAATTTTCCCATGCAATTATAGTACCTGGAGTGAAAATCTACCCCATTTTAAAATAAAAATACTCCCATGCATCCACTCCACACATGGGCTTCCTTTCCTGTGGAGAGCCCTTCCCCGTTTCAGACCAAAGGTCGGCCTGTGAATTGTCCCCTGAGGAACAAAGGACCCTAGGCGGTGGCTGAATAGTACCAGCTAGAAGCAGTATGTTTAACTGGTCCACCACGGAGCTTCAGGACCTGGGCACACTTCCTGCTTCAGTGTTCCTCAAACACTAGGTTTTGATATATTAGTAGGTAAAAATTTAAAAAACAGATTATTGCAAGTAGGAGGGGAAAGTATTGTTTTTTGACACTGGTTTGTGCTTGTGCGCTGTTACAATGTACAGTAGTATTTTTTGCAATGGTGGCTGACAAAGAATTTGGAAAAACACTTCCGGTTTGCTAGCGTGGGGAGAGGCCGTTTTAGGCAATTACTCCTGTAAGTCATACATTTGAAGTTAAAAACAACAGCACAACAACAAAATAACAAAAACAGTACATGTGGTGATGGTGGGGCACGAGGGCGGAGATCAGGAAGAGTGGAAATGAAAAATCCTAGGCTACCTGTGCTCCTCATGATTAAAGTCCTGGAAATGACCGCAGCCTCTCGGTGCTGGACGGGAGGCCCAGATTGCAAGCTGATGGCTAGGACTCGGCTGCCTTGGCCTTGGTGAGAGGCTCCTCAGGCACTCGTTGCTGCTCTTGCTGGGAAGGCAGCAGGGGTGTGTTTGATGGAGCTTCGCCTGTGCAGTCAGGCAGACCTGGGCCAACTGCTGGCTCTGCCCCTTACTGGGACTTGGGCAAAATGTTTCCAACTCTCTAAGCCTCAGTTTCCTATAAGATGGATAAAAGTATTTCTTTTACAATGTGCTAGGAGGGGTAAGCCGAGTAGCTGGTAGCAGGTAGCTTAGTAAGTGTCAGTTCCCTCCAGTACCTTGTGTGCTGTGGCTCCCACTTGCTGCTGGAGCACAGAACAGACCATCTAGAAGGGAGGTCCCTCCTCTTTTTTTCTGGTGATGCATCATCACCAGAGTGATCGGTGTGAGGGGAAGGAATGGGAGTGGGCAGTGGATGGTCCAAAGCCGGGCCCCGGATGGTAAAGAGGGGGCTCAAGCAGCCATTCCCACAGGAGCCTCCACCCTCCTGCAGACAGCCTGCCTCCAGGGGCTGCTCTATCCCCACCAAATCCTGGCTCCCTGCCTCCACACAGGATGAGGGTGGCTGTCACCGCAGCAGAATGACTTTTCCTTGCCCTTTGGACCACTGACCTTTCTACTCAGTGAGTTCCATCTCTGTTCTCCAGGCAGCGAGGATATCACTGCCACCCGTCCGTCTCGCGTAATGGTCACTGTGTTCTCCCGCAGGTAGAAGATATCACCGCCAGCCACGAGGCTGCTCTCCTAGAGATGGAAGATAACCACACGGTGGCCATCGCGGTCCTGCAGGATGACCACGACCACAAAGTCCAAGGTAGCTGCCATCCTAGACGTGTGTGGCCAGCAGGTGGGCCATGGGAGCCCAGCCTCCTGCTGCAGACACCAGGAGCACCTCTGCTCGCTTGTCCCACTTCCCTTTCTTCCTTCCTTTCGTTCCGGGTGTGTTCTCTGTGCTCTTGCTGTGGAAAGGAAACATGCAAAACCAGGATCCAGGTAGCACTTCTTTCCTCTGTGGCAGTTACTCTCAACCTTGCCTGGATGTTGGAATCCCTGGGCGCTGTGATTGGAGGCTGATGCCCGTCTAGGTCCACTCTGGGCCCCCAGGCAGCTGGTCTGGGGTGCCGCTGGGCATCCAGATTGTATAAAGCTCCTGGGAGGGGTCTGACGGGGAGTTGTGCTTAAGAACCACTGGTGTCACGTAGGCGTGGAAACCCCGGGCCTGTCTGGGCCTCACACAGTTAAACAGCAGTCTTGGTGGGCACACCTTTCCAAGACAATTTTGTGATAAAAAAAGATAAAATCACTACAAATAGAGGGACATTAAAAATGACCTAATGAAACATAAAAAAGGAATAACAAAAGTAAGCCTTCATTTAAAATATGTATAGATTCATAGCAATGCTCCTCAAATAACTGATTTTATTTTGTAGATATAACCTAAGGACTTGCCTTCTTCTAGGAGAATTCAAGAGGGCACTTGGCCTCCCTTCCTCCTCCCAATGCACTGTTCCAAAATAATAAACCGACTCATGGACGGGTCATCTCACCTGGAAGAAATGCTAACTGTTTTAAGAGTACCACCACGTGTCCACTCGTCCCTAGATAGACCATTATGAGGGCTCGCTAACATTTACATAGAATATAAAGATGGGAGTAACAGTGAGAATCATCAGTGGAGAAATGAAACTGAACAACACCCCAAACCGCAAACCCCAAACTACCAACCAGTTATTTTATCTGTTTACAGAAAAGAAGCCTTATAGCCAATTAGCTGTACAGAAAAATGTTGGCAGCAAAGACGTCTGGGGCAGAAACAGCACATGTGCCAGCTCCCACCCTGGGCCGCCCATTGGGACCACCTGGGAGTTTAAAAACAGCAACACTGATGAGTAAATCCCACCTCAGAAATTCCACTTTAATTGCTCTTGGGTGCAGCCCAGGCTTCAGGGCTTTTTAAGGCTCCCCAGGTGATTCTAATATGCAGCACATTTTGAGAACCATTGTCTTAGAGCACAGTGTTGGGTGTGGGGCAGAGTGTTATGACCTCAAAATAATTATGTTATGGGTACATAGTTGTCAGGCATGGTGTATACCATGTCCAGGATAGGTATGGCCCGCCTCTTTCTTGGGGTATTGGGGTCATCTGAATGTCCTGAAGCCCATCGCTGCACTATAGAAAAACAGTCTCTGTGTGGGAATGCGAGTGGAAACGATGCAGTGAGCCACACTGTTGCCTTTTGTTGCTGGCTTTTCATAAAATAGACCTGGCAGATTTTTCTCACTAGCAAAGCCTTGCTTAGATGTCGCATCGAAGGCCTTTGCATCATATATAATACATATAATAGTAGCAAAAACATCCATTATTATGGTCAGGACAATGTGCTCAATGGCTATTAAAACCAATCATTTAGACAGAAAGACACATAGCTTTATCTTAATTCAATAAGCACTAATTAATTTTTTCCAAATGTAAATTTGAGTTATAACAGCTAGATTTCTTAGAGGCCTTCTCCATTATTAGTTCAACGATTTGGATCAATGGAAACCAAAAGCTTTTCCTAATTGCAGCTTTGGCCAGCCAGAATGATAATTGTTGGTCTTTAGTACTCTCCTGTCCAAAGCATGTGTGACCCAGGCTGATTAATGAGACCTCTCCTCCCTCCAGTTATAACATGCAAACAAATTGCTTGTGTAGCCAGAATGAGATGGGCTTCACCCAGTTAATAAGACTGTTCCCATCTGGAGGAAAAGATAATCCATTTGTTTAATAAGTCTTACATGACATCTCTTTCTGCCTCACTTGCAAATTATTACTGGAATGACACTTTGCTTAGAATAGAATGGTTCCAAACTCTCCAAGAGGAACCAATCCAATTAGTCCTCCTTTCTGTCTGAATGTCTTCATAGCGACTCTTTGCTCAAGCAAACCCTAGAGATCGGTGGTTTTCAGAGTGTGGCTCAAAGGCCTCACAGACACAGCGCTTGCCCTGTTCACCCGTCACTCTCCAGCGAGCCCAGGCAGCACGGAGGCTGCTCACAGCTCAGCTCTCTGAAAGCTCCCTCCTGCGGCCAGATGGCTGCTCTGTGGTGGAACGAAAGAGTGGCCCTGGGATGGGAAGGAGATGGAGACTGAACACTGGTCACCCAGTTGCTTTCCCATTAGGAAAACTTGGAGAATCAACCAAGTTGACTGGACCGTGGATGGAGGAGCTGACTCCTGGACGGTGGGAGAGCGGGATATAGAAATGATGTGTGTGTTCGCTCTATTTACTTCCCCCTCTTTTTCTCTCCCTTTCTCCTATCCCTCCCTCTTTATTTCTCTTCTAAATAATGCCACATACAATTCCAAAGTAATGGAGAAGTCTCTTTAGGCTCAAGTCTGCTGTATACCAGTGTCCCTATTCACCCGTTTCTCATTTAGTCTGGCAAGAGTCTTGTTTGATCCTTTTCAGATGAAAGGCTAACTTAACAATCTGATGTCTTCTCTCCAGAATTGATGTCTACCCATGAGCTTGAAAAGAAAGAATTGGAAGACAGTTTTGAAAAGCTGCGGCTGTCATTACAGGTTAATATCTCCTTAACCCTGAAGTCAAGCTAATGGGGCACCGTTAGTCCTGTCCACAAACATTTGGGATATAGAGGGAGATAAGACGTTCCCCTGCCCTAACGAATTTATTGTCTACTCAGAGGGTGGTGGCAAAAAGAGTGACAGACACCCACAAAAGGTAGCACATCCTTGCACCAAGGGAATACTACCGTCAATGAGTGCCACGGAGATCCAAGGTTGAGCCACACTTGCTGTGGTCAGAGGAGTCACCGCGCTGTGTGTGAGGAAAGGGACTCGGGAGAAGCACATGCTAGGCAGGGCGTGGTGTAAGGGGGGCTGCGAAGGGCAGAAGCCATAGGGCATGTCTGGGATTAAAACAAAGGACTTCAATCACCTGCCTAGAACCTTCCCTGCCTCCACTGCCAACCTACGCGACATGTGGGTCTCATGCCAGCGAGCAGCCTGGCTTCCTTCTGAAGGGGCCCCAGCTCACCTGCACCCCCCTCCTCCTTCCAGAGACCCTGTCAGCTGCTCTGTGGAAACATGATGGCCACCCACAGCTCCAGGGAGGAGCTGCCTGGGAAGTTAGGGTGCTTCCGTTCCCAGCTGTGGCATCTCAATCAGAGCAAGGTTAATTTTTAAGTACTGGGGACACTCACACCTGGACATTGTGATGACAATAACAACGAATGCCCATTGATTACCACAAGTAACACAAAGCCGGGAGTGTTGCCTCTGACGGCTGACTCTCCCCTGGCAGCATGCATCACGCAGAGGCGGCCCTGCCTACGCAAGCACCCATGCTTGTGACACCAATGTCACACTACTGAGTGTGCTGTTCCACATTTTCTAAACAGGAAACAGTCTGCAGTAAGCCCACCACCCGCCCATCAATGGGCCTGCAACACGCAGTCCTCACGGGCACATCCTCAGCAAATTTACCCCAAACTGCCTTCCTCATGCATCCCTCTCACAGCATCAGGTGCGCTGTCCTCAGGAACACACGCCCGGAAAGGGAAAGCCAGACTGTGGTGTAACAGAAACCCACCAGCCCCAAACCGCAGAGAAGGTTTTGTTTCACCCGTGACTGAGTCTTCATTCCACCCCTGCCATCCCACGGGCAACACCCTGTAGCAGACAGAACCCATTTGGGCAGGAGGTTATTTGGTACAAGGAGGGTGGAGCTGCTACAGCCAACTGTCTCCAGTGACTGGCAGCTGGAGAAGCAGGCTTGTGGTAAGAGATTTGAACTCGGGCTTAAATCCCATGGCGGCCCCTCTTACTAGCTTTGAAACCTTGGGCAATATGTGAGCTCCGTGAGCCTTGGGTACTCGTCTGTGAAACGGTGCTGACGGTACCTTCCGCGAGGAGTGACGTGTGTAAAGTATGCAGCACCAGGTTGGCTCCTGGCAAATGCTATTAAGTAGCAGCTCTTGCTGTTCTGATAGTGGCTAATATTATTATTTGTTATATTTATCATCCTCACTATTGTTATCATGCTGTTGGTTAGCTCCTAAGGGGCCGGTGCGGGGCCTCACCCTTGACATACAGGAGCCAATCCAATTGGAAGCAGCCTGTGCCGTGTGACTGCTGCGCACCGCGTGGGCCTGTGGGCTGGTGTTGAGTCAGGTGAATGCGGCAGAAACACCAGTTTGATATTTGAGGTCCATCTTAGGTGGTATTTGCCTGATGCACTTTTGCTGTTCTGCTTTTTGATGGAGGAGGAGAGGCTTGAAAGAAATGCAACCTCTGACGGCACTGACACAGCTGGTGCCGCGCGCAGCCTGGGGAGGCACCGGGGGTGTGGCAGTCAGGTTCCAGAGCACCACTGCCTACGTCACCAGGGCCTGTGGGCACAGGCTCCCACTGAGTACTGCATTGCCCTAATACCCAGCCTTTGCTTTTAATGGCACTGTGGGAGCTTTTGTTATTTAAGATGAAATAGAAGTAACTGGGAACAAAGAAACAAAAAAAGAGGACAAGAAAAAACCAAGGCTGGTTTGCCAAACAAGGTTGTCTGCCATGATGAAGAAAGCAGTCAAGCCAGGCACCTCATACGTTACAGTGTTACTCTGTACAATTCCGTAATTTACAAAACCTTGCTCCTTGCTCCTTGTGTCGGCTGGGATGAGGCCATTTCTCTTGAGAGAAGAGTTCATTGGAATTCTGTAGGTTCTAATGTTACAGAAATGGTGTCATTGGGCGGAGAACTTTGATGATCAGTCCTTGCTAGGGCTGCCAGGGAGGGGTGAGCCAGGGAAGGGTGTGGTGCCCCCTCAGACACACCTTCCGTCAGCCGGCACATGGAGGGCTGCGTTGTGGCTGGTGTGTGCTGGGGGCCAGGAGCATGGTCTACACCAGTGATGGCGAACCTATGACACGCGTGTCAGAGGTGACACACGAACTCATTTTTTTGGTTGATTTTTCTTTGTTAAATGGCATTTAAATATATAAAATAAATATAAGTCTTTGTTTTACTATGGTTGCAAATATCAAAAAATTTCTATATGTGACACGGCACCAGAGTTAAGTTAGGATTTTTCAAAATGCTGGCATGCCGTGCTCAAAAGATTCGCCATCACTGATCTAAACAGAAGGTCTAAACTGAGGGGACAGATGGCCTAAAAAGGGAGGACAGCCTCTGCTCACATCAGGGACCTGCACCCCAGTCCTGAGGCCCAGGGAGGCCAAGAGGAGCTAGAAGTGACCCTGGAAAGAGAGGGAGCTGGCGGATGGAGCCGGTGGGAGAGCTGGGCTGTAAAATGGGGGTGGGGCAGCGAGAACCCCAGCTGGAACACGAGCGAGGCTGGCGTGGGAGGTCTGTCACACCATGTGGAGCACCTGCCTCAGCTTGATGCCCATGGCGTGTGCACAGGCCGTCATCACGGCTCCCCAGGCTGCTGTGTCCGCAGAGGACCGAGCTGGACTCCTTGTGTCATTACTGCAGGACCAGGTGGACACGCTGACCTTCCAGAGCCAGTCTCTGCGGGACCGAGCCAGACGCTTCGAGGAGGCTTTGCAGAAAAACACTGAAGAGCAGCTGGAGGTGTCGAGTTTCCCAGGCCTCCAGCACCGCGGGGCTCAGCGGGGCTCTGTGGACTTCTCCCCGGGAAGCCCTGTGGCTTCCTCAGCAGTCATCCCGATGACAGGGCCTCTGTGCTAATCTGCTGCCAAAGGGACAGCTGGTCAGGCCCTCCCGGATCTTACACATATTCCTGTCAGCACCTCTCCTCAGACGGGGGTTTCTCCATCTAAATGTTATTCCTGCCACACGGCACACGGCTCCCACCACTGTGCCTGAGCTCCTGGGACAAGCGTGGCCCGGCCAGGACCACCTCGCCATTGTCCTCTCCAGCTCCCGTAGGCTGGCACGGGGAGGCTCCACTGAGGCCCGAGTTAGTAGGTTGAGCGAGTAGTTGCCAGAAGAGCTGGCACTATTCCTCCCCTATGGCAACACGTGTACAGTTGCCATATGCAGCACATCACACCCAGTTAAATCTGCATTCCAGAGAAGTTAGTATAAGGATGTCCCTTTCAATACTTACACTAAATATAATGTTGTTTATCTGAAATTCAAGTTTTACCCACTTTACTATGGGTTGGGTTTTTTTGGTGGTGTTGTTACATCTGGCAACCTCACTCTAAGATTTCTTATTTAAATGCCTTTTCTGCTTTTAAAACCACTTTGTTTTGTTTCTATGCTGGGCTGGGGCTCTCCAAGGGCACAGCT